TATCAGAGGCAGAAGGAGGAGTTAGAAGTGCCATTAACACTTATTACTCTTAGAAGTTACTTACAGGTAAAATGAAAACTTAAAGGTGTAACACATAATCTAATCTAATTAACACAGGTAAGGTAAATTTATAAATACAATAACAACTTAATAACCCCAGAGGGACGATTTATAAAGACATTACACTGAATTATATAAATGATGAGAACATTACTAATTACTATAACACTTATTAACAGGAGAACATTAACTTAACTTCATAACAAAACGATATTACCGCAAAACCCGACGAGCTCTACTAAGTCCTTTACGAACCCAATGGATTGTGACTTACCAACAGGGAAAGGAAAGGGAACTATGATCATAAGACTCTGTTTATCACCCTTTAGACCGTGACTCTCTTCCTTATGGCATTACTATTAAGGTACCGCTCCTGTGATCTGGTGTTATGGCTGTGTTATGGTGATAAATGGTGTGTTAAGGTGTGTTTAGGTGTGTTATGGTGTGTTATGGGAATCAGTAGCTCGCAATTAACACCTCTATGATTCACCTCCAACTCGGTGATAAGTGTGTGTGTGTGTGTGTGTGTGTGTGTGTGTGTGTGTGTGTGTGTGTGTGTGTGGTGTCATGTCGGGTGTGTAGTGTATATGGTGCCACGTGTGTGTGTAGTGCCGTGTACAGTGTCATGTCTCAGTCTATGGGTTTTTTTTCTGGTAATAATACAAAATTCAGATGAACTGAGCAATTTTAGAGTGTCAGGTTTTATTCTCTTGTATAGCGTCGATTTTTTCCACCAACAACGAATGGCAGAAGTGAACTAAGAACCCGAAGATCATTTAATTATTTGACGTATTTTATTTGTTTACAATATTTATAAGTACAATTGATTAAATATGGTTTAGTATTAATTTTTCTGCTAATTATGAAAACAAAAGTTGAATATAATGAAGCAATTCTGATATTGATGGATTTTTTGGGGCAATATTGCAGAGCCCAGTTGATTATGGAATGTTCTGGTATTGATGTCTTTTTGTTTTTGTTTTTTGTTTTTTGAGTGAAATAATTTTTACCTTTTCAAAACAGAGTTCATTATAGATCCGTATTGACATTAATTGAAATATTCTGAGGACACGACATTTTTTTCAACAACAACAAGAGTAAACAAAACTAAATTAAACTGGGTAATTTTACAGCCATATCGAGCGTACAGGTGTGTGTGTGCGTGTGTGTGTGTGTGTGTGTGTGTATGCATGTATGTCAACCCTCATACGATATGTTTAGCATCTATTTACGAAAAAGTTCCGCTACTCACATTAATTCACTACCCCGACAAATCACTGTGACGCTATCGGCTAAAATAAATAACCTTAAAATCCCCTCCCCCTCCCTTAGCCCCTCTTCCCCCGACGTAATCAGAAGCGGTGTGGGTGGTAATGTCTGGGAGGGAGTCTTGGTGGAGGTGGTGGTATTATTATTATTATTATTATTATTATTATTATTATTATTATTATTATTATTATTATTACCGTATCACCGTGACTTCAGATGATACTTGCACCATTAAATTTTCACCCTTTCACTAATACATTAAAACCCTTTCATCGTTACCTTTCACTCTTGAACGTGACCTTAAGCAAAACAAAAAACAAAAATATCACTACATTAATGTTGAAAATCCCTAGACTTACACACTAAATTATTACCGTAAGGTCAAGATGAAATAAAACTTATTCCCTTGTAGCATCGAAAGAGAGGCCGTGGGTAAGTGGATAGCGTAAGAGTTTCAACACAAGGAGAACCAAGAATCGATCCCCCCTCCCCCCTCGTTATTAATGATGCTGTCTTGGGATTTTTTAAAGGTTAGGTTAGGTTAGGTTAGGTTAGGTTAGGTTAGGTGGTGACAAGAATTAGGTAACACAGGTGCCTTTCTGCCACATCTCCTACCACACCACCACGTCTCCTACACCACACCACCACGTCTCCTACACCACACCACCACGTCCCTACACACCACCACATCCTACACCACACCACCACGTCTCACCCACACCACCGTCCCCACCAAACCACCACGTCTCCTACACACACCACCACGTCCCCTACACCCACACCACCACGTTTCCTACACCACACCACCCATCCCCACACACCACACGTCCCCTACACACACCACCGTCCCTACACCACACCACCACGTCTCCTACACCATACCACGTCTCTACACCCATACCACCACGTCTCCTACACACACACCACCACGTCTCCTACACCACACCACCACGTCTCCTACACTACACCACCACGTCTCCTACACCACACCACCACGTCCCCTACACCACACCACCACGTCTCCTGCACCACACCACCACCAACTCACACTAGACGCTCCTCCTCTCGTTTATCCCCACGAGTAAGACGCCATCAGTCCTCAGTCCTCGGAGGCCACTTTATATAACTGCTTCGCTGCTGCTGCTGTTGAGGACGAGATAAAACACAGCAAATTGTGATACCTTCTCGAGTGTGTGTAAATATATATTCAGATAATAATAAAAAAGGAAAATAAACCATAGAGCCAAAAAGTAGGTTTAGGTTTAAGGTATAACACATGATTACTATGCTTGTGTCATAGTGAGGAGGGAAGTGTACAGTATGCGTGTATAATGCAGAGCCTGTGGTAGAGAAGTGTCACCCTTATTGAGCCTCCGCTGCTGCCGTGGTGACTCAGGCGCCCTCTGTACATTTGTGCCATACTACAGGTGTGTCCCTGTGTCTACCGTATAAAACATTACTATTATATATATATATATATATATATATATATATATATATATATATATATATATATATATATATATATATATATATATATATATATATATAGTGTGTTTGTGTGTGAATGAAATATCCCCAGAATTTGTCGTATGCTAAGTTTTCTTTGGTACAGTAAGTCCGTAGATTAGAAACGATCCCTTCACACACCCACACACACATACAGTATATATAAGACTCACTAGCGGTTGTGATTGTGTTACTGAGCTACATGATCACTTATTGTGGGAGTAGCACAGGCATATGTGTAGGGGTCGGGTGTGTGTGCGTGTGTATGTGCGGGTCCTGTACGGATACAGTCATATGTGACTCTGTGAATCACATATGCCAATGTTATATTCATACCTATGACTCATATCTGCTGCTGTTACATCTGGCTCTGTGAAATATCCCATATAACAGCCACACATGTGACTCTGTGGACCACGTGTGTTACAGTGAACATCTGGCTTCGTGTATCACATGTGCGACGAAAACTGTCAATAAAACACTTGTGTTACATCAACAGTTGTTTGACTTTTTCCCATTTAGCATAAAACTCTTCCATTATTTACGTTTATTAGTATATATAGTTATCCTTATCTATATATTATTCCCATTAAAATTATCTAATGTCAATAAATTAAAAACCTAAAAGAGAAACGTCACCATCACTACCATCTATTGACACCATCACCACCAACCCTCACCCACCTCTTCACCCCCTTCATCACCTTCACCCACCCTTCATCACCCACCTCACCCACCCTTCATCACCCCTCCTTCACACAATTACTAGACCAAGGTCATGGCTCATTAAAATCTCCGTCAATTATCTTAAATTAATTTTCCTAAATAATCAAAAAGTGGATCATTACGGAAATTATTCTTAATCACCTTCTTCTTTTGTCCTCTTTAATTACCCCTATGGTAATTAAGGTTTGTTTATTTGTTTGTTTATTCTCATTAGTCATTGTTTACTTAGTCTTGTTTATTTGTTTTAACCGCTTGTTTGTTTTTTCTTGATTCTGTATTAGGTTTATATTTGTTGTTTTTTGTCTTTTGTTTTTCTTTTTTTATTGGTTTTGTTTTTATTTTGTTTTTGTCTATATTTGTTATTTTCTCTCTCTCTCTCTCTCTCTCTCTCTCTCTCTCTCTCTCTCTCTCTCTCCTCGTTTATTCCCTATAATATGATTAAGTCTCTTCTCTCGTTCTATTTATCTCCCTCTACCTCCCCCAACTCCCCCCTTCTTTTCCTCTCCCTGTCATCCTATACCCCTCTTCTCTTCCTCTCCCTCTACCTCCCCGCATTACTCCTCCTCTTCTTGCTCTCCATTTCTCCTTCTGCTCCTCTCATCCTCTCCCTTTATCCTTCTCTACCTCCTCTCTTCCTCTCCCTCCACCACCCTGTTTCTTCTCC